TTTAAAAACCTACTGGACTTTATCTATATTCACAAGTGAGACTGGCTTCTCTCATTCATTTCTTCAACTCTTTTTGTCATGTCTATGTATGAAAGTTATCCTAGTCTGAATCATGAATTTAGAAATGAACTCTCACTCTACTGTCCAGTAGAACAGTTTGTATAAGATTGTAATGACCTGTTCCTTACAGATTAGGTAAAGTACCTGAAATGTAAATCGCTTACAGGGGTGTCCAATCTTTTGGCATCTCTGGGCCACACTGGAAGAAGAAGAGTTGTCTTGGACCACACATTACACCCAAAAAAATCTCACAATGTTTTAAGTAAATTTACCATTTTGGGTTGGGCCGCATTCATAGCCATCCTGTGCCGCATGCAATCCATGGGCCATGGGCTGGGCACCCCTGATTAAAACTGGACCTGGTGCTTCCTCTGTGAAAAAAACTTTTAACCACTAATTCAGTTTCCTCAGTATTTACATGAGTATTCCAGACTAGGTTCTTGAGGCAGCAATTTCACATTTATTGGCACAAAGATTTTCAAAGTATTTTCAGTAGATGCCTCAAACTGCAAGTAAGTACCAAACCCTATACCTACACTATTTTTCCTATACATACATACCTACCATAAAGTTTAATTTGTAATTTACACATACTAAGAGATTATCAATAAAAATAATAACAATAAAACAATTATAGCAATATACTAAAGTAAAATATGAGAATGTGGCCTCTCTCAAAATATCTTTTGTACAATACTCATCCTTCTTCTTGTGATGATGTGAGATGACACAGTGCCTATGGAATAAGAGGACTTGAGGTGAATGACACAGCAACTAGGCATTAGGCTACTTTTAGGGTTACCTGAACAAAGCACTGCAACATCATAACATAACAGAGATGGCCACTGAATGCCTAACTGGGAGAGAGCCTATGGAGCATGACAATGTTGGATGGCTCTAGTCCCAGGTGGGATGGAACGAGGTGGTACAAGATTTCATCATGCTACTCACAATGGTGCAATTTAAAATTTATGACTTATTTCTGGAATTTTCCATTTAATATCTTTTAGACCCTGGTTGACACAGGTAACTAAAACCACACAAAGAGAAACTGCAGATAAGGGGGGTAAACTACTGTACAACACCAAAGGTACAATCCATAAAAGAAATAATAGATATGCTGGCTTTCATTAAAATGAAAAACTAATGCACCACAAAAGACAATGTAAGAGAATGAGAAGACAAACCACAGACTGGAAGAAAATATTTGCAGAAGACATATCTGAAAAAAGACTATGGTCTAATATGTATAAATAACTCTTAACACTCAACAATAAGAAAAAAACAAAAATACTAGGCCAAAACCCTAAACAGATACCTCACGAAAGAAGCATATAAGCATATGAACAAATACTCTACATCATATGTCATCAGGGAAATGAAAATTAAAACACAATGAGATACCACTACACACCTATTAGAATGGCCAAAATCTGGAATACTGACAATACCAGATGCTAATGAGGATGTGGACCGGTAAGTTTCATTCATTACTGCAAAATGGTACAGTAAATCCACCTTGGAAGACAGACAGTTTTTTACAAAGCTAAACAGGCTCTCTTACCAAATGATCCAGCTATTGTGCTCCTTGGTATTTACGCAAAGGAACTAAAAATTTATGTCCATACAAAAGCCTACCTGCAGATTTTATAGCAGCTTACTCCTAACTGCCAATACTTGGAAGCAACCAAGACCTTTGGTAGGTGAATGGATAAATACACTCCAGTATATCCAAACAATTAAATATTATTCAGCACTAAAAATAAAGTATCAAGTCATAAAAAATACATGGAAAAAACTTTAATGCATGTTATTATATGAAAGAAGCCAACGTGAAAAGGCTACAAACAGTATGATTCCAACTATATGATATTCTAGAAATGCAAAATTACGGAGTGGTTGCCAGAGAGGGGAGAGGAGATAAGGAGGCCACGCAGAGAGGATTTTTAGACCAGTAAAAATACTCTGTATGACACAATAATGATTGACACAAATCAATTTCCATTTATTCAAACCCATAAAATGTCCAACACCAAGAGTGAACCCTAATGTAAACTATGGACTTTGGATGACTGTAATGTATCAATGCAGGCTCATCAGTTGTGACAAATGCATCACCCTGGAGGGGGGACATTGATAATGGAGGTGGCTATGCATACATGGAGGCAGGGAGTATACGGGGAATATTTGTACCTTCCCTTCCATTTTGCTATGAATTGAAACCGCTCTGGAAAAATAAAAACCTTAAAAAAGAAATGTTGAGTAGCTGTGACAGAAACAAATATATTTACTACCTGTCTCTTTTTTAAAAAAGTTTGTTTGCCCTTGGTTTCATATATTAGAGTAAATTAAATAGAGACACTTAGTTTCTACCTGCCCTTCAAAATCTCATTAAGCCACCACAAAAGACAACATAAAAATTTTATGTCCATTTTAATGTTGCAGTGAAAAGTATTCTTAAAAAATATTGGGGAACAGGCCCTGGCTGGTGTGGCTCAGTGGACTGAGTGCCAGCCTGTCACTCAAAATCAAAAAATATCGGGGAACTCATGGAAGAGCAAAAGGAAGACTGAATCAGGATCCACAACAAAAATTGCTCTAGTTACAATTACTGAAAAGAAAATGCCACTGCAAAAACAAACAGCTCTTCATTTAAACAGTTCTTCATTTAAAAACTAATTTCAGGAAAATTCTAATTTCAAACCAATAAAATAGAAGGAGGCTTAGAATACCAAGGCAATGGTTAAAATTGGCCGAGTATTAGCCACTCCTCCTAGCACATAGATAAAGTTACAGAAAGCATCAACTTTCACTTCCAAGATTAAGCTCTCTGACCAGTATGGAAAGCAAGTCCATGCTCTCCCTCAGGAGGCTCTGACCATTAGGTTGAGCTATACAGTGAAGCAGAGAAAAGCCTCTGTTAACATTAGCACAGGATGAAAAGGGGCAGAAAGATGACGACAACCATTCTAGAAGGCAAAACACATATATTTTTAAACTCAGCTCTAAAAAAGAAGAAAAATACAAGCAAACAACAATAACAAAACCACACAAGATTCCAAAAGACATTACATGGTCAAATTCTACTAATCCTTCAAATAACTGATGATTCCTTGTATGGCACAGAACAAGATGGAAAGGTTTTCACCACATTCTGTGAGGCCCATATACGCAATATAACCTCGGTACCATACCAGAAAAGGATAACACAAAAACTGAATTAGAAGATCAATCTCACTTGCAATTATATCAAAATACGTAAGACTGAATCCAGTGTAATGCAGTAAAAACCACTATAGCCACTAACCACAATGACCAGCTAGGGCTTACTCTAGTAATTTAAGGCCAGAGCAGTTGAAATAGAATAAAATTCCCTGCGCTTGATAAATTGCTGACAAAATATTAAAAAGTGCTCATCAAAGTCAAGTAAAGATAAGGATAAACATATTCACTTCAACAACTGAATCATGTACCAAGGGCTTTAGACAATGTGAAAATACGTAAGATTAAACTGTTCAGAAAGAAAAAAATTGCATTATTTATAAACACTAAACTTTTCATCTAGAAAAACACCAGAAAATTAATTGAAAAAAGGAAAAATAACTAATACAAGTAATTAGAAGGTTGGCCTGATACAAAATAAGCACATAGAATTTAATAACTTTCCTATAGAACTACAATAACCAGACTTAAACAGAAATGGGGAGGGAAAGATCCAACTCAAATATATTTATATAAATGCTGTAAAATAGCCAGGAATAAATTTGAGAAGAAAAAAGATACAAGACCAAGGCCAAATAACTAATTATTAAATAATGCTTAAAAAAAAAAAAGAGATGAAGGATGTAAAAAGGCAATTTACGGAACAAGAAAGGCAAGTCTAAATTAAAAAGATAAAATATGACACAACATCTGGGGAAATGCAAATTAAAATGTTAAGATGCCTTTTTTAAAACCATGGAAAATTTTAAAATAGCAACATTAAATGCTGGCAGGAATATGAGGAAACAAGTATTGTCATATAACTGATGGGAATATAAATTATTGCAATCTTTTTGAAATATAATCTGGTAGTATTTATTATAACATACAATGAACACATGATTTTTAGAACTGAAATTCCATGTTTAAGAACCTATCCTATATACCAGGTATGTACACACAGAGAAAAGGAAGTGTAGAATACACAACGAGAATGTGGCCTTGTGCAAGCCAAGGAGAGAGAGGCCTCACCAGAAACCCTGCTGACATCTTGATCTTGGAGTTCTAGACCCCAGAACTGTGAGAAATAAATTGTTGTTTTTTTAAAAAAAAAGAATCTATCCTATAAATACACATACTAATGATCTAAAAGTCTTGGTACAAAAATATTCATTGCTTGTTTATAAAGAACCAAAAAAAACCCCAACTGTTCATTAATGAGGAAATAATTTTCAAAAATAATTTTAAAATACGGATGAGACTATGCTACGAATTACTATTCTGCAGTATATTAAAAAGTAGTAACAGTAAAGTATATTGACATGTACTCAGATATTACACAAAATATTACACAAAAGTCTGCAATTCAATGGAAATAGTACAATCCTGTGTATGTAAAAAACAAAAAAAATCCAAGTCATAAATACATTTGTATATAAAATTATTTAAGAGATATAGGTACTGTAAGTCAAAGGCTTATGCCAAATTACTCTTTGTTTTGAAATAATTATCTTTATATACCATGTCTTCATACATGGAAGGCCTCTTTAATTATAAAACGTTCTTCACAAATTTTCAAATCAAATATATGCTATTTTATAACAACCAGCTACAGGTCACGATTATCTAATTATATAAGTATTTTGGCCAAATTTTATATATAAAGACTATGCAACTTTTTAAACATGATACTTAAGGTTATCTTCAGCATGCTAAAAGAAGAACTTAATTGTGCTTACCGATTTCATTAATCACTGCTCTTATTTTGGAGACAAAAGGACCAACTTCACTCGAATTCATTTTGACTCTTTCCTTAAGATCAGCACCTGGAAAGTATTTTATTCACAAATATAATCTAGTTATGAACAAAATTTTAATGCAATATTTTGAAATTTTTTAATTCATATATAACTTTAAAAGTAATTGAATTTATCTACTGAAGGAATTATATCACCTAAGTTTTCCTTCTCAAAGACAAGCACTAGGAAGAATAACCTATTTGTTTCTTCATATACCTGAGAGCTTAACATAATGGTTCTCAAAACTCTGTAGTCTTAAAGCTCCTTTAAATATCAGAGGAAGAGACTGTGTAGAGTATATGTACTGACAGTTACTCTATTTGAAACTGAAACTACAAATTTTTTAAATATTTATTCCTTTAATAATACAAATAAACCCATTTATGTTAACATAAATAAACTACAGATTGATGCCACTTTCTTGTTTCTTGCAAAGATATCGGCAATCTTACCCACCATTGCTTTTGCCCCATCAGTGCAAAGGTCAACCCGGTGAAAAGGGCAAATCAGGCCTTTCTACCATGAAAATCATTTCACGGGTGCCTGCCTTGGGGACTACAGATTACACATGAGAATCACTGGCTTTAAACTACAAACAAACTGACAATTTTGTAATCAAAGAATCATAACTTTGGAACAGAAAAAAATAGAATTCTTTAGGGAACCATTTACTCTGTGGCTCAGTAAAGACATTCTTTTTAATAAAATTAAATTATCTGAGAAGAGTAGGTCCCAATTTAAATAAATGGACAAATAGAATATGTAAAATTAAGAGCATAGAAGGCATACATTCAGATACTGCCTCTCTTATTAGTCCATTTTAAATTAATCACAACTAGAAATAATACCAAGTACCAACAAGCTGACATTGGGACATTCTGAGCCCACACACTTCCTGCAGGAGTGAGAACTGCAGCTGACATTGAGAGAGATATATACACTATTCATATATACACACATACCTAAATATATACACACATACACACAACTATTATATATATGTGCTCTAGAAAAATCTCTCAAACATATGCCCAAGGAAATAACATTCAATTCAACACATATAAAATAGCAAAAAATCTGAAATAAGACTTCCAGTCAAGATGAAGATGTACATAAACATGCTTCACCTCCTCATACAACTGGAGAAAAAATTACAGCTAGATTACAAAACAAGTATCACCCAGAAACATCATAAAATCAAGCTGTCTGAAGTCCAACAACCAAGGATTTAAAGAAACTATATTCATCCAGATGGGTAGGAGAGTCAGAGATGCAGAGGAAGGTGGACAGAGTAGACAGAGGTGGAGAGAGGTGGGGAGGCGCAGGGAGGTGGCAGAACGGGTGGTCCCACATCCATGTGTGGTGGATATAAATCCAGAGAGATATCTCAGGAACAAGGGATCCCAGCCCCAAACCAGATCACCCAGCAGCCCAGCATTCCAGCGCCAGGAAGATGAATTCCCATAACTTTTGGCTGTAAAAATGAGCGGGGGTTGGAGCAGGAGAAGAAACTGCCAGATTATCAGGAGACTTCTCTTAAAGGGCTCACACAGGCTTAGGACTTATGCAGACTCCCCCACGCTGGAATTGAGCATTAGGGCAATAGCTGGAAGGGCACAAGTGTCCTAAACGGGGAAAAAAGTGAAGCGACTGGAAACAGTGTGAGTGCTGGGAGACAGCTTCCTCCCAGGCAAACCTCCAGAAGCCAGGTGGCAGCAATGTCCCCTCTCCAAGCACTACCCCCACAAAGAGCCACAAAGCCGTTAAACGGTTTGCCACATTCTGATGATCACCTAAGGCTCCATCCCACACAAATTACAGGTCACTCTTCCACAACAGGCCATGCTAGTAAGACAGGGAGTCAAAGCAGCTCTACCAAATACACAGAAACAAACACAGGGAGGCTGCCAAATTGAGGAGGCAAAGAAATATGGCCCAATTGAAAGAACAGAACAAAACTCCAGAAAAAGAATTAAACAAAAAAGAGATAACCAACTTATCAGATGCAGAGTTCAAAACCCTGGTTATCAGGATTTCCAAAGAATTCACTGAGTATGGCAACAGCATAAAAAAGACTGAGGCAGAAATGAGGGTTACATTAAGTGAAATGAAGAAAAATCTACAGGGAACCAAGAGCAGAGGGGATGAAACTGAGTATCAAATCAATGATTTGGAACATAAGGAAGAAAAGAGCAATCAATCAGAACAAGAAAAAATAATTCAAAAAAAAAAAAATGAGGATAGAATGAAAAGCGTCTGAGGCATCTGCAAACATACCAACATCTGAATCATAGGGATGCCAGAAGAAGAGGAAGAGCAAGAAACTGAAAACTTACTTGAAAAAATTCTAAGAGAAAACCTCCCTAATTTGGTAAAGGAACTAGACTTACAAATCCAGGAAGCACAGAGAATCCCAAACAAGTTGGACCCAAAGAAAACCACACCAAGACACACCATAATTAAAATGCCAAACGTTAAAGAGAAAATCTTAAAAGCAGCATGAGAAAGGAAGAGTTACCTACAAAAGAGTTCCCATAAGACTGTCAGTGGATTTCTTGAAAATATTTTGCAAGCTACAAGGGATTGGCAAGAAGTATTCAAAGTGATAAAAAGCAAGGACCTAGATTATTCTATCCAGCAACACAATCATTTAGAATTGAAGGGCAGATAAAGTGCTTCCCAAACAAAGTAAAGCTACAGGAATTCATCATAACCAAGCCATTATTTAAAATGTTAAAGGGACTTATTTAAGAAAAAGATCAAAACTTTGAACATTAAAAAGACAACAAATTCACAATTATCAACAATTGACTCTTAAGGGGAAGGGAAAAAAAAAAAAAGCAAACAACCAGAACAGGAAAGGAATCATAGATATGGAGAAACTTTGGAGGGTTATCAGCTGGGAGGGGGAAGAGAGAAAATGGGGGGAAAGATGCAGGGATTAAGAAGTATAAATTGGTAGGTACAAAATAGACGGGGGGATATTAAGAACGGCATAGGAAATATGAAGCCAAAGAACTTATATGCACGACCCATGGACATGAACTAAGGGAGGGGGGATAGCTGGAGGGAAGGAGGGTACCAGGCAGAGGGGGCAGAAGGGGAAAAATTGGGACAACTATTACAGCCTAATCAGTAAAATATATTTTTTAAAAATTGGAAATAACCTAAATATTAACCAAAAGGATTATTAATAAAACTGGGAAATAATTTGCAATGGAATGAAGGAATTAAGAGTATAAATATGGGTAAATCTAAAAATGTTGAAGGATACATAATTATACACATTTATAATTATATATAATTACAGAAATATAGACAGAATATATAACCATTTTACACAAGAATGCTATTTAGGAACATAAAACATGCACAGAAATGATAAACACCAAATTCAATTGGTGTTGACCTCTGGGGGAAGGAGAGAGATGTAACTGGCAATGTGCACAGAGGAAGGACTTCAACCTTTGTAAACTGAATTGCTTAAGTTAGGTGGTGGGTACTCAATATGTTAAACATTTTTGGATACCTGATGCATGTCTCCATAATTAATTTTTTCCATGAAGAATTAAAATTCAGCATGAAAGAAAGAAATGTTATTAGAGCCAAAACAATTTCTAAACTAATAGGATATATTTGTTAAAAGAAGAATGGTTCAACTCAGTGCCACTGTTAACATTGAGAACATAATTTTAAATTGAGACTATATAATGTTGTTCAGTGTATATTGGCTAATACATATTGGTTAATGAAAGTAGCTAAATGCAATGCTATATAGGGGAGAGGAGTAGATAAAGAGGAGACTGACAGGGACTCTGAACGAGCTGGTCCTGAAGGAGGTCCCTACAACTACACCATGAGGGCCCGTCAAGTCCTCATCCTCAGGGTGCCCTCTGACTAGTGCTGCAGTGGGGGGCTTTCATCCACATTCTGATTCTGTGACCACACAACAAGCTTTAAAAACACACTCAGGCTAGAGACTAGGCTGCTAGAGCTATGCCAGGAGCTAAAAGGAATCAGGGTGGTGTCCTGCCACATGTAGCCCATTCACTGTCCACAGCAGAGAGATTTGGAAGACTACTCTGGTAATTGAGGGCAGCCTTAGCCACACACATCAGTATGGAACTTCCTCAGGATTCAAGGCTTATTTTAGAAATAATTACCTTTCTCTATGGAATGTTAACCATTTGTATTGTGATTTTGAGACTACTTTTGAAAAATTGTAGTATCTTTTAGTTTTTACCTTGGAAACATACCCTGCGATCTTGAACATTTCAGAACCTGAAAATATAGTTTCACCTCTATTCCTTCTGTGATCATAAATTTTTTATTTGACAGTATCAGAAGTTTTATTTGAGGCAGAATATTTCTCAGTTCTTTTACTTCTTAAATTCACTTTTTAAAAAGTTAAAAATTATTTCCTTTATATGGTTTAGACTCTCTAAGTCCATGACTATTCCCCTCAGGTGTGCCATTTATGCTGTCTGGCAATTTTACTGTCTTTCCTATTCCACCTGCTCTCCCATGTACATCTACAGACAATTCTGTAACCTCCCTCTTCCTCAAACTTCAAAACTCTTACACAATCATGATACCAACTCACTGAGGAAACAAAATCATTCAGAACAGAAATTCCACCAGCACCTACCACCAAATCTACCCACCTACCAGGATTGGAACCTACATATGCTACCTTCCCTCCTGTTACCACAGATGGACTAATTCATGGTGGAAGCCAAATGTCCCCACCATGTAGCTTTGACCTCCAGGTTAAGATCACTAGATTCTACCCTTTCTTGTTTCTTAAGGGATTTCACATCAACAACTATCCTCATCAATAGTATCCCTCTTCAGAGAATCATTCGGATCAGCAACAATAACTGTGTAATGCTACCCATCTTAAAAAAAAAAAAAAAAAAAAAACTGCATGGGCTTTCATTGCTAGCTCTGATGAATAGCTTAGTATCAGACCAATTCTTCTAGGAATCACCAGATAAAACATGTAAGACAGCTGTCTGAGGACAATG